GGGTACCGGCGCCGCCATGGCCTCGAACTGCGCGGGGGGCTCGGCGGCGGGCGGCGTCGGGGCGGCGCTGGGCTCGGCGCTGAGCGCCAGCAAGACCAAGACCAAGAAGAAGCACTTCGTGTGCCAGAAGGTGAAGCTGTTCCGCGCCTCCGAGCCGCTGCTCAGCGTCCTCATGTGGGGCGCCAACCACACGGTGAGCGCGCCGCGGCCTCCGCCCCCCAAACCGGGCCTTTCCCCCCAAAACTGGGCCTTTTTTCCCCCCCAAATGAGGGTCTTCCACCCTCCCTCCCCCAAATAAAAACAGGCCTTTCTTCCTTTCTTTCCCCAAAACTAGGGCCCTCCCTCCTCTCCACCCCCGTAAAATGAGGCTCTTCATTACCTGGTCCCCCCACCAAAACCAGGGCTCCCAGTCACGTCTGGCCCCTTCCCCAACCCTGAGCAGGACCAGCCTCGCACCTCCCCAAAACAGTCCTCCCACATCAGATCCTTCCTTCGCCCCCAAAAAATTGGGGTCCTCCCCCAAAATCAGGGCCCTCACCCTGCTGTTGGGCCTCTTCCCCACCTCACCTCAGACCAGGGCCTTCATCCCCCCTGGATCAGGCCCCTTCCCCGCTCCACGCCATGGTCCTCGCTCATGCCTTTGAGTCGGGCTCCTTCCCTGCTAAATCGGCACCTTGCCTGTCTTGGCATCCGCATCCAACCTCACATGAGGTTGCTGTCCCCCGGGATGGGGATCGCCGGGAGAGCCCTCCCTGGGGTGTTTCCCCTCTAGGTCTGGGGCTCTTTCCCCAAAGTGCCTTTGGGTGCTCCGGGACCCTGGGTCAGGGTGTCGTGATCCAGCCCGGGGTGGCGTTTGGCTTCCCTCCTACAAGTTGCTTCTCTTTGCGTGCCCGTCACACCCACCCTCTTCCACATTCCCCTTCCCTGCATCCTTCCCTCTTTTCCCCAGAATTGAGGGCACCCAGCAGCCCTTGGGATCCCTTTTCTCCCTCCCTGGGAGGTTCTGTTGTGGGTTATGTTTGCATCTTGTCTCCATCCTAAAGTCTAGAAAGGTTGTTTTGTCCCTATCTATCCAGCCTCTGACCTTAGGCTTCAGCTACCGGTACTTGGACTAGTGGCACCTCTGCAATTTGTGACCCCTATCTTAGGAGGGAGCTGGGAACGGCTCCCTTGGAAACGTCCGGGAAAGGCTCGGCTCTTTTACCAACCTCCTTGGGAGGCTGCTGAGGCCCTCGTGGTATCTTCCTCTGGAAACTTCTCCGTCTTATCTGATGGCAGGCAGAGATCCCATGCTGGATGGGGCGGATAGATTCACTGCTGCTGCCTCTTGCCTGTGCGTGGTGGATGCTATTTCGAGAGACTGTTCAGGTGGTCACAGAACACTTGTCCCTTCCTAGACAGGGACACTTCCAGGGCTCAAAGACAGCTATTCCTCTAGTGGACTAAAGGAGGGTTTCCTGGAAAGTGAAGGGGACTTAAGCTTATTTTTTTCTTTATAGATAAACCACATTTTCCCTGGAAATAGAATTCTATTTCTAGTTTACCTGGCAGTGGAGAGAAACCTTCCAAATGTGGTTCAACGCAGAGTTGTCTTCCTGACTTAAAGGATGTTCAGTGTGTGCTGCTCGGGGTCTTGGCGAGAGGCAGAGCAATGAATTTATTCAGGTTTGATCAGCTTCAATGGTGCTTTTAGGAGCCCTGCAGAACCAGCGAAATTATTGGGATTCCTCTCAATTTCATTCATGGCCTCTTAGGGACAGTTGTTGCTTGGTGGCAATTAGCTTTTCTTTTCTGTATCTGTCTGGATGCTCCGAATCTGGCAGGGTTTTAGCCCTCGCATTAGGGTGGTAACGTAACTCTTGGAGCACGTGGCTGCGAAATATCTGGGCAAAGGCAAGCTGAGGTTCTGTGCGAATGCTCGGCCAGCAGTGGGATTATATCGGATGCACACGATGAAACTGCTGCCAGAAACGACAACCGTATCCTGAGGGGCTGGCAAAGGGTTTACGAAATACCGGCTCCGACCTCCTCACCCTTGGATGCGCATCTGGGTTTTCCTAATTCTTGCTAGTTCATTTTCCTCCAGCTCCCTGCTGCTGCCCTGCGTTTGGGCCTGGGGAGCATCTAGTGGGGCTGGGAGCTGGCTCAGAGCCGCAGCGTTTCCATGGGCTCCAACCGAGCAGCCTCTCGGGCCGCAGGGATGGTGCCGCTGCCGCCCTGCTTGGATGGGAAGTGGAACTGCTTATGTGCTCCCAGCAGATGGATCCGGATTGTTTATGAGTATTTCCAAGATGCACTTGAATTTTCTGAGAAATCTTTGGTGGGGTTGTTTAGCGTTTGGTTTCTGGACCGTAATTTTTTCAAGGAGGTGGGGCCCATCCAAGGGGTCCCTGTGCAGGACAGGGAGGAAACCCTGGTATCGGCACAAGCACAAGGCCGAGCCAGGAAGATTCTGTCAAAAATCCTTGCAGTTGAGAGGAACTTTTTCATGGACAAATCAAACAACCATTTTATGCAATCCACCATCTCTGTTGACTGAAGAAATTCCCTTGGGTCCATTAAGTGAGTCTGGCAGCGGTTCGGCCCTGCCTTGTGTTTAAACAAGCTTGTTAGCAGCTGGTGTGAATACAGCCTAGGACGGGTCTGGAGAGGATCAGGAGCAACGATGGGAGCGCTCCAGGAACGGGAACTGGTTCCAGAAAACCAGGCCCAAGGTGCTCCGCTCCAATAGCGCGTTGGGCCCTGGCTGCCCTGGTGGTCCCCAGCCTCTAAACCGAATCAACAGGCGTCGGGGTGGGTCTGCGGCTGGCGAGAGCAGGGCCAAACGTGGGGGGTTTTGTCCGTGGGATAAATTTTGAATGTGAAAAACACAGTGGGGAGAGGAAGCCGGTGCAGGTGGGAGAGGGAAGGGAGTCTCGGAGGTTCCCGCTTGCTCTCCGCGTGTTCTGCGAGCTGTGGCCGTGTACAATCCGCGGAGATGGTTCCCCTGGAAGCTCCGCGCGCCGCTGTTGTCATGGCGTTGGAGGGGAGGTTCAGCTCCGCAGCGCCGCTCCGCTCCCTGGCCGAGCACGTGTGCTTGGGAGAGGGAAACTTGTGACGGCCGGGGAGGGGGAAGCATCTCGCAGCAGCCTCGTGCGGGGTGGTGGAAACCATAGAAACTGTTGTACGGTGGTGATCCGACCCGGCGCTGGGATCCCGGTGAGTTGGGGGCTGTTGGAGACGCGGCTGTCGTCTCCGTTTGCTAAATGAGCGGTTGGGTTCGTGCAGGCTGCAGTGACGCTTCTCTAGGTGGCCGTTCAGCCGCCAGAGAAGATCCTTGTAGCTCTGGGGATGTTGGCAGGGAAGGGATTGGGATAAACGAACCCATTCCCGACGACATGGGCAGCTCTGCTGGCTCTGTGGGTCTTGCCTGACGCGGCTGCCTCTCTTCCATGGGCTCCAGGAACTGGCAGAAGCACCAGCCCGTCTCCCAGGACCTTTAGTGCTGGTGCCAGCCAGTACAAAACACGGCTATTTAGTATTCAACTGAAATAGCAACATTGGGATTTGCAGCACGCTTCTCCCCGCTCTGCAGTGTTG